GTGACCTACCAGCTTTAAAAACGGTCGAGCACGTAGAGAGATCAGAGTTAAGGACGTTCGAAAATTACCTGCACGGCCATTTGTTGCATCAGACGTGAACTACACAATGTGTCCGAGTTAGGCGTACAGTAATTTCTGGTTTGAAATTTGAATCAACTCATTTTTTGTAAAAATTCAGTAAATAGAAGCAGAAAGTGAGTTCTTCTGTGCATTCCGATTTTGTTTAGCAGTTGATAGAATAAATTGTGATCCATGTCGTTATTGAAGCCACATTTCCAGGTAATTCTGTTGATGGCGGGTAGACATGAAAAAGTTATGCCAGAAACAAGTGGAGATGACAATGAAAGTGGAAGTACAAGCGGCTCCGAGGTATTACGTTTAATTCGGCTTGTTTTTGTATGCCCTAGTCTAAGGCAAAGGCTGGATTTCCGGGGTTTGCACCCGCCCTTCCTTATTTTCGCGTGTTTACAAATAATATTATCGTATTCGAAGTTTAGAGCCAAAGGCTCCATCCTTTCTCCTTATTCCTTGAAACCAAAAATTCATGTCTATGCGAATCGTAATGTAGATTTAAGGCTTATTTGGTAGTATTCATTAGGGAAAGAATAACTCTTTGAGCTAAAAGATGCAATCGACGCCAGCAACGTCTTTTTTAGTCAGCTTCCTTCAGGTATCCATAGGAGATGAAGGAGAGGAGAACAATCGTTCAACAGCCGAGAGTGATGAATCAGATGAGGAATCGGAATCCAGCGGTACTCCTTCCCTAGTAGCTCGCTGCCTTCATTTGCATTATTTCCAATGCTTTTTCTAACGGAAGTACTTCATAATTACATCACCATGGCTTTGTTTTTATTTGGCAGTATTTTTTGAATTAAATCTTAAAAATTTAAGATGAAGAGGAAAGCTCTGAAAGCGGATCTTCTGAAAGTGATGGTGATAGTAGCAGTGATGATAGCGACTCTACAGACTCTTTATGGGGTGCATTCGATGACGATGATAAAAAACAAACTCAAGAAGCCAATGTAGGTGATCTTCTTTTTTTAGCTTACTATCATAAAGCTTTTGAAAGTATTATTAATGTGCTAACAACATTTCGAATTCTTGATTGCGCTTTCTTTGAGGAAGCCTCTGCTCTGCTCGAGTTCCAAAGAGCATTGGATTGTTTAGTAGAAGGAAAGAATAATGCAGCAACGAAAATCCTGAAGAGACTTCTTCACAATCCCCTCGTCAAAGGATTTAACACGACAGTCTTTGACTGGGAAGCAGAAGTGGATGAAAGGTATTTCCTGTTGGGTTACGCTTTGGCTTATGATTAGCAAAAGCGATCTTTCCTTTATAGGCTTTCCAAAATGGCTCGACTTTTTGTCGGCATCCATAAAAACCTTGCAAAGCTAGACAGTGAAAGTTCATCGCAACATTTTCTCCAGGTACTCTTGCTTTTTGGCTATAGGAATTTGCTACCCCTACAATTGTTTATTATTTTTTTAGATCTTATCTATTGCTCCAAAAAACGCAGAAATTTGGCTTAATCTCGGCTTGGAAAGCATTACCAACGGTGATGTAGACTTTGCAAAGTTTGCATTCGAACACGCCGAAGGGCCTGAAGCCACTGATGCTCTGCTGAGTGCTCTGTATTTGTCGCGGAATTACCATGGTAATTCGTGACTGTCATTGGCGCTTTCCCAGTACTCATTTGAGCTTTTTTCGTTTTCGTTCAGCCTGCTTACGACTGGCGCAGAAATGTATAAATTTGGGAATTGCCAAGGAAAAGGCGCTGTTTCTGAAAGAGCGTATCCGTTCCGTGAATGATCATTACAGGTAAGAGCTCCCTGAAATTGATGTGATGATGACGATGATTTATTTAAGCGTTTATAACGAAATAGGTTTCTACTATAAATGATTTATAAATGAGGAACATTTTCCCTCAAGACTACTCCTATTCAGAGAGTTCTGTGACAAAATTTTCGGTGAGAACAGAAGATATGACTTGGTTGAGACTTTGGATGAAGCCACAACAGCAAAGGTATCATTAATAAAGACTTTGGCACATTTTCATCATATTTCTTCTGCGGTGTAGATGGCGCAGCGGTTGGGCGCTATCGAAGAGCGCCTCCGTTCACTTACTTATGATGAAGAAACTTCTATTCCAAGTCCCATCGAGATTGAGTTCGATGCGGATCAAACGTGAGTTTTCGTTGTGTAAGGTTGAGCACGATTCACCGTGGAGCTTCGATGATGACCGTTACAGGGTAGACAATATAGCTACATGTTTTTGTGATCTCTACGATCGAATAGAGGCCTATTCAAGTGTAAGTTTGCAGCGAAGTCTCTTATCGTTGTTGTCGTTTTTAGCGAAACTATTTTTAAGCTTTCCTTGCAAGAGATCACATTTTCTCGTTGGGATGACAGGAGAGATCTGCTGGACTCGATGTCGGTATTACAGGATATTCTCGAAGTTATCGATACTGTTAATTGCTTAATAGATCAGGTTGTTGACAAAATTTTCCGGATAGCTACTGAAATGTTAAAAGTGTGTTATAGGCGTTATCTAGGAGCGCTAAAACGCGATGTGCAGCGACGTCATCGTCTCTTACTGCGTCGGCAAGTGATAGCTTCTTGCGTCGGTCAATGCGATATGCCATGGAGTTACCGTTTTATGAGGAAAGTGGTTCTCAAGAAGTAGACAGCTCGATGCCTTGCCGTTTGGATGGAATCCTGCCTCCTCTTGAGGTACATTTAGAAAGCGTCTGAAACTACTTTCAATGGCGAGTCTTGCGATTTCAGCTGGCCAAATCATTGGGCTTTCAAGTTCGATCGATCGTACCTCTGAAAGATGAGTTGTTGCGAAGACCATCTCGTACACCGACTCCAGAACTTTGCCGCGAATATTTTGATAGCGATTTGCTATTATACCTGTTGATGACAACCCTTAAAGGTGGAAGTTGGACAATGTTTGAATTACTGGGTAAGTTTTTCCCCTATAACCTTGTAGGCTTTTTCTCATCATTTCATAGAAGCTTTGCAGAAGCCTTTCTTTGTCTCGTAGCTGACTTTTCTCCCACTTTCGGAGCAGTTCCACTCGATCTACGTGAAGTTATTATCCAATGTTATCGTAGATTCAATAGGCTTTCTAGCAATCTATATGAGGAAAAGTATTTGCGACTGCATGTCTTGATGGACGAGCTTGGTATGTCTTCTGAATTTTAGACATCTTTCTCTGTTGTTCCCGATATTATTGCCACTTCTTTCTTTTAGAACAGCACTGGCATTCAAAAATATGCAGCTTTTAAATATTTGGAACTAAGGTTCTTCCAAAGATTAAAGCATTCGAGATAGTCTAATTTCTATCTCTTTCCTTTCCTTTTCTCAATTATCTCAATTATCCCGCAAGTATAGGAGAATCACAAGCGCGGGACTACTGCATTCGATGGCATTATGGTGAAAAATGGAAAGATCGAGAGTTGTTACAGCGCTTCATACTTAGCCATTCCAAAGCAATTACTGATGAATCCATCAAGTGAGTTCTTGATTACAGCTTAACTACTCCTCAACATTCATGTATTTACAGGCTCTCTTTCTTACGGTTCCTCTACAACTTCCTTGAAGATGATGAGTTCATTTTCACTGCAAAAGGTTGCTCTTCTATAAATTGTTGACAAAAACCTTGTTTACAATTCACTGTTTTCACTCTGAAGGTTGGGCCGGGAAGGATGATGTGCGTGGCACAATCGAGCGCCTTGAAAGGAGTAGTAGAATTATATCCATCTCTCAATTAAGGTGTAGTGGAAAGTACGAGGAGGTACGGTTCTTTTTGTTTCCGCGAACATGCGTGGTAAGACGTTTGAGTTTAGGTTATTTCTATAATAACTCGTGACATTGACTTCCATGTGCTCGAAGGTGATGACCTGTTTGAGACAGCGGAATTTCTAATTGAGGCTTACCTTAAAGTTGGGAAGTTTGATGCTGCTGTGGACTTTATGTCGAGGTAAGTCGCATTCTTGTGTAGGGTACACTATAATTTCTTCACTCCCCTCTGAGTCTCGCTGTGGTTGCGCGATAGCTTATCACGCTCGGTTGGAGTTTTTCTATACTCCTGTACTCATTTTTCAGAACACTTCATTTATTGTTGTCCTACAAACAGCTTCCACATGAACAGATCTCGTCTTTACTGCGTAGCATGAGAGATACAGATTGGTCAAAGGTGAACAAAGAAAATGCCGAAATGGCTGGTTATTTCTTGTGCCAGCTTACTACCATCGATCATTTCGTGACAGACTGGCTTGTTTGGAAGGAGCTCTATAGAGTGGCCGAACGTGTGGGAGGTGAGTGGCTGAGATCAAGGCTTATTCTTGTTGAAAAGTGGTTGATCTATGCAGGAGGCATTTCTGTGGATTATATTCATTCTCTTGATCCCATAAAGCAGGATGAGGCAATGCCAAGTTTGGGATTGGATGTTCTGTTGAAGGCCCATGAGAAGTTGGGTGAAGCGAAGGTGTGCGGCTGCGATAAGGTAAGCGTAGGCGATGTTGCTGTTTTTGCGTTTCAATATTTAACGACCAATTTTCCCTCGAGGATTCCTGCCTTTTTGTCCGGTCACGCTGGTCCGGTCACAAGTGTTTGCCACTAATCATTTTCGTCTTCTATTCCTCTTAGTTTATTTCGGTTGCGCAGCATTCAGTCCTTCGCTTCGTATAGGGAGCCTTCCTACTGTTCTACATGGAAAATCTACATGCGTGTATATCTAATGAGAGCGTGGTGTCAGTGTTGCGCAGAGACGACTATTCCTGGTTGTGGTCGAATGTCTCCGAAGAGATATCTCAATGTCTTTATTGTGTGTTCGGGTAAGCCTCTCATCGGTTCACGCCTTTTCTCACTCTAGTGAATTCGTTATAGGCGATATTCGAAACGTCGTCGAGCTCTCGAAGAACACGAATGTTCAGTCAGTCATCGTATTCTCGATAAGCACTCGACAATGGTGGTAGAGCTCGCTATGCCTCATCCTCTGCCACAGTATGATGACAAGGTGATTGTGCAATGAAATTTTGAGCCACATAGACTCAATAGTAATCAGTGCCCTGTTATTTAGGATCGCCTCGGTCACGATGTTGTGGATCTGCTCCTGAACAAATTTCCGTTCATGTTGGAATACTCGGAAGAGAGAAAAAAGGTTTTGAATGAGTTCACTGAGTGGATGCATCGCGCTGCCACGGACACCTCAATAGATCGGTTAGCATATAAAAGCAATCGTTTGATTCCTACCTTCCGGTTTGCTCCATAATTCTTCATGGGGGACTGGCTGGCAATAATGGCTTTACATATTGCGTTGTGGATGAAATGAATTCAGCTTTCATTGTTGACAACTTTGAGAGGTTGTAATTGTAACTGCTTGCAGTTTGAAGTGGCCTATTGTACGAGACGAGTCCTATGTGCAATCATGTATTTGGTATCTCATGGCGTTACATCATTACCGCTTGAGTAATTACAACGAAATTGAAATGTACTCAAAGGTGAGTTTCAAAAATGATCTCCTCCGATTGCGTTTACGGTTCACGCTACCTTTTCCAGTTGTTTCTCACAAGTGGCCATGCTACTCTAGAAAGTCGAGTTACGGCTGGAGCCTGGGCTGTCCTAGCCTACACCTCGGTATACCGCGTGTTCCAGGTAAATAAGCATTATTCTTGATACGTTCGCTGAAGTTAATATGCTTTTCGGCAGATTCGTGATGACGTTTTGTTTCTAGATGGATGATGATGTACTATATTTGGAATGGCAGTGGCACGTAATGCCTTTTCGGATTTCTTTGCTTGTGGATGGCCGCATAGGAGTCGTTTATTTCCAGCTGGCTAACACGCTTTACCAAATTGCCACCAGATTATCTCGTTATTTCTTAACGGTTGGATCAGCTCAAGTTTATTACAACCCGTTTCCATTCTAATCAAATTGGCAGTCTGCCACTAATTGATTACTATTACTAGGTACCATCTGATGACTGGCGACTGCGATATGCAGAATCGCTACTTCAAAGACTGCGACAGGAGTCGGTCAAGCTTTTCGAGGAAGCACTGTCTCAGGTGTGCTATTGACCTTGAACTAATCCCTTATTGTTACAAACTCATTCCACTATAACTCCTTTCTTTTAAGGCTGGCCAGACTGAACCTGGAATGATATGCGAGTTCCAGTGGTTGTGCTATTTCTTCTTGGCAAAACTACAAGCGAAGCTAGATCCAACTGAAGTGGTCAAGGTATTTGTAGAAGTCGTTCAAAAAATTTCGCATAATGAACGGAAATTTGTGCCTCATGCTGTGTTCCCTCTGCTTTCCTCACCATAAAGTCCACTTACTATGGGTGGTGGTAATAGAAATTGCGCGTTTTGCTCAGTTGTGGGAGCATCAACGCTGAGAGAATGCTTCATGCTTCATGACAGTGAATTAATCTTGCCTTCTAGCAGTTCTTATCGGCTCCCATCAGATGCAACCATTTCTGTTGCCTCATATTTACTATGTCACTCTCATATCACGCTAAGGACGCATCGCTGATGCAAGTAATGAACCTAGTGGCCTAATAACACCTCCTACTAAGCTCCCACCAACCTTCGATTTCCCTGCCCTTTTTCCAGTTCTCCTATAAATCTGAGCGCTCTTGGTGCGATGAAAGGGGAGCACAAAATTTTCAGTTGGACGCATTCATACAGGCATACCACAATCAAGTACATCCCTTCACATGACGAGATAAGTAGAACAACAAAAAGAAAATGCGTTGAATAACTTTCGTATTTTGAAGTGGTTCTGTCCAAAAAAAGATCATTTCTCTCCATAATTTGATCCTGTTACATAGTTTTATTCTTTCTATTCAAGGTTCTATTCTTTTTCTTTCAAGGTAGTTGATGGGATGTTTGAAGCTGCATGTTCTTGTGAATTATCGGGATTTTTCTATCCAATCAAAATCAACGTTAAAAAGCAACAGAATATCGAGCCTGTGGAAATTCATTACCAAATTCACGCTACTGTGTGGAAATATCTTTGTAAAAAGTGAGTTTCTGCTGAATTTTCGCGCAAAATAATACATAGTCTTTCCTATTCTCTGTTAGCCTTTTATGCAGATAATAACGCACTGAAATACAACTTCTAACGTTTAGCCCATCGCCATCGTTGAAAACGTTGATCTCACTTTTGGCATACATTCGGGCTATGCAATACCATAAGGTATGTATCTTTGCTTTATTGCTGCTGCGGTGACATGGCTGTACACTTTCCTACATATTATCACCAATTTATCATAGATCATTTCAAAAATTCTATGCGATTGTCAGACTTTCAGAAGATCTGCCTTAAGCTACCGTCCTGTCGTTTTCAGGTTGTGCGGAGCAACTTCTCACTATTTTCCATTAATCCTGAAATTCACGAAACTCTAGTACAGATAACTACCAACTGCGATCGCGTGCAGGAAGGTGATGTTGAGATGACGGTGAGGTTTACGTTCCCATCACGTTTTTACGAGTGTTCTTCATAAAAGCGAAGTGAGCTCGGAATTTGATCTTTGTTCGTGTTCCCTTTCCTTGTAATCGCGAAAGGTGAACTGAACTTGGTAAGAGAGTAGGAGGCCCCTGAGCTTTTCCTTATCTTAATCACTCTACTAGGGGCAAAGAGGAGAAGGAGTCTACAAATAGCAGGTCTGCTGCCTTTCTATGTGCTGCTTCTCTCTGAAATACAACACAGCACAACATTCGCAGCATGAATCTCTTCATTTTTTCCGTACAAAATCTCAATACTCCACTCACCCGCTGTAATACATATTGCTTGATTGCTGATGAGTCTCTGCAACTTGGCATTGAATTGAATGTTGATTAGTTGATTGAATCCCTCCTTTGATCGTCACGTAATATGATCATAGTCTGTCCTATCTATTTCTTCTTTTTCTCATAAATTCTCAGTTCACTTCTTCTAGATAGACGATATCATTACTCGTGTAGATTTGATCGAAGAACTGTGGAATCTATGTCATCGCGCATTTGAGGCTAGTTTAAATCTTTGTGGTTTGCTCAATTTTGGATTCAGACGAAGTATTTTTGCGTAATAGGTCTAGTTTAAGTTGGTATGCGAGCGTTTCCCGCATATGAAGTCCTACTACCGCCTGGCTGAAATGGAGCTTAGTCGTGGGAACGTAGAGGCTGCCTATAATCATCTGATAAAGCATGTCTTCAGAAAAAAGAAACGTGATGATTCTCTTTTCGACGTAAGCAGACTCTAATTTTGTTAGCTTTTCGTTCTGATCACGAAAATGCATGTTTACAGAGTGTTGTTGAAATAACATCTCAAGACATAGATCGTTCGGGATCGTTCCCATACCATGTCGAGAGGGCACTGCAGTTACTAACATCTTTAGCGTACAGGTTGAAGGACATGCCTACGATCATCAGTATAATTACAACGTTGGTTGCTAATGTGGAAACTCGTAACGAGTAGGTTCTTTTTGCTTATTTCTGGAATGAGTATGTTTCGGGGGTGATGAATGTACGAAATGCATAACAAGTTTTCACCAGCTCACTTTCCAGGGAGTTCATTCTGAAGGAAAGGCAAGGGGCCTTACTCCAGCATGCAGTCAGTCGACTTCACATTTTGGTAATGGAATCGGCAGCGCCCAAACATCTCCGCTCAGATCTGTACCGGGCCTGGCAAGCGGTGAGCAGGTGAGCATGAGTTTCTTATACGTTTTCAAACCTATGCTTGGTTTGGAATCCTTCTGTGCGGTTGTTATTTCAATCTAACCATAAGTCTTTTTCTATTTTGAAAGCCACTTGGAACACCAACGGTATGGACGAAGCTAGGTTAGCTTCAAGTTGCTCTTATAATCACACATGTTGTGTGGAGATGAAATTCCGCGCTGGTAACTGATCGGCTATCCACCTGCTTCTTGTTTAGCGAACACGGAGAGAAGGAATGTAACCGATCCTTCTCTCCGGGGTCGCTAAATTGCAAGCAAATTGTCTGAGATTATAAAGGAACAATGTCTATCGTCTGCTCAAATGTAAATTCAAAAGCTCTTTCGATTCTGGTCTGAGAATCTATCCGTTGCGTACCCCGAGACGGGCTGATCTTGTCGAAAATTTGATCCTTTGAGACTTCATTTGTTCTTGTCTAGGTGTAAGATGCTGGCAGCTCGAAGCGCATATGTTCATCTTCAAGGTCTGATTCAGCACATTTTCGGATCTGTAGACAGTTTCGTTGCTGAGCAGTCTATGGTAGATGATCATAAGAAAAAACAAGTTAGAGTGAGTTTTTGTGCTTTGTAAGATTTCGACCGGCCATTATGTTTTTCTCTGCAGAAACGGAAACTGACACCGTATGACCTTGCCGCAGCCGATCGAGAGCTATTGACGCATGGAAGCCAGACGGAGCGGCTAGAAATCCCGGCCACTTGCTCCGATCCCTTGAAATTGATGCGTCTCGCGTTGAATGCGTGAATTAATTTTTGCATGTATTTTAAATTTCGAGTTTGTATATTGCTACATATTTTGTCAGGCCTGATCTCTTTTGTGCAAGCTATATCGTCCGGTGTATTTTTGGGGCAGTAATAGTGGAGCCCTCAAAGAAAAATGTGATGCTAGACGCTGTGGTTTTCCCTCAATTTTTGTTTTAAATGGGATTATATGGAGGATATGGGTTGCACGGCAGAATACTGAAAAATACCGGTACAAAATGCGTGTAAAAAGATTTTGCGGATGTAGATGTAATAAATGGGTTTATATAGTTCTCATCAGTTCTTGAGTAGAAGTTTGTACTGTCATCACATGTGTATCTGTCATTTCTCGCTTTACCCCATGCTTTTTGATAGATAATCTTCATCCATATGAACGTATCTTTAGCCGCGTATTCGATATTTCGTCATGGATTGTATAGTGGCGGCGTCCACTGGTGCCTTGAAAGGTGATGAGGTAACTTTCTGAAATTTATCAGTTCTCAATGTATATTTTTCAGGCATAAATTTACGCGAAAATTCGTTTGTAAACTTGCTGCCGATAAAGACCTTGGCACCGAAGCAGCATGAAATTACCAGTATGATTTGGTCTGACTCGGGACAGGTATTCGTTACATTTTTTCGAGATTCGTAACAGGCTTCTGCATCGGTTGAAGGATCAGCAGAAATCACGGCCATCATCGGTTTTATATATCGTAGAATTCTTTGAGCCCATGATAAGCATTAGCATGTTGATTAGGAAAGTTGAAAGTTTTAATAATAACCTTGCTAGGAACGCGATCTTCATTCATTGATCTTCACCTTCACTGATCATTCATTGATCTTCATTCTTCACTTATCTCTCAAATATACCATCTCAACGTATATATTCGTATGAGAAGGGAAGTAATAGCTTCCGAAGTGGGGCAGAAGGTTGTAAAGTCAGAGTTAGCCGAAGCGATGTATGTATTATAATGTACGGTACCTCCCTTACTAATGCTTTGACTTCTATTTTGCTTTACTGTTTTTACGCTCTTTCCGTTCATGTGATTTACGCGTAACCTTACTTTTCAGTCCGAAGTATTGGCAGCTTTATTGGACAGGCAGTTGAAGTTGTATGATGCCCAGAAAAACACATTCAACCCGTTGTACAAAATTGAAGGAGGCGAAGGAGCTGTACAAGGTCTTCACCTGATTGAAGGGTATCCCCATATATTACACAGACATGAGCAATATGATGTATTTGTATACTAGAAGTCTTCTAGTTAAGGCGTAAAGTTGTTTCTTGCGTTGAATCCGGCCACCTGAATGTATGGGATAAATCTGGTGAAAGTACTGCCGAATGGGAAGCCGGCCCTGGCGTCAAGGTGATGAGAGGTGCGCAATGTTTGGCGATTCTCTCTCAGTCATCGTTGTGGCTTATTACTTGCTGAACTAAACTTGTTACCCTTTTTGTAGGTTCCAATGCCCGCAAGGAAGTAGTCACAGGAGGATTGAAGAATCTAGTGAAGACGTGGGATATAGAAACTGGAAAACGTGTCTGGTCTGCGAGGAATGTACGTTCGGGAAATTTCGAAACTCTTTCAGTTTTTGAATACTTGACCTTTTGCGCTTACCTTCGTTCACCTTCCTCCAAGAGTTCTCTTAACATGAAGATAAAATCAATCGATCATGTTTCAACATAGAGTGCCATCCAGATTCACAAAGCGGTCGAGTAATTGGCTGCTGCTCATACCGGTAACTGTTACCCACGCTATCATTGTAATGAACGTATCATTACAGTGATCGCATACTGAATTATCGAGCACAAGTGCCGCGTTCTGAGCCCTCTACGCTTCCGCTCTTCTTCAATATTGCTGTCATTTGTCGTTTTGCTCTTTCTCCCTTTTTGTTAATCTCCGAAAACATCCTTCATCCTCCTTCGCTTCGTATACCATTTCTAGCACTTTATATTCTTATACTCGCTCGGGTGTCCTCTTATTAATTCCTGGCATATAAATGTCTCTAGAAGACACGCTGCAGTAATCTGGTCGCATAGATTTATAAATTGAATTGAAGAAATTACATCAACGTTCAAGGTTCCGTTGGACTTTCTCGGATTAGAAGTGCCTATTGCATGCACCGATGCTCGATATGTTGATGATTCCGGGACCATCGTAGAAGCTACAAAAGTTCATGAGGTGAAGTTCTACTGTAGCAACTGCTCACAAGCGCAGCGGGTTCGATGAGTTGCCTGTTGCCACATTGGATCGGTCAGGAATGATAATCGGTTCAGCTTCGTCTCTACGATCCTCGCGCTCAGCGCCGTCCAGTAAAGAAGATACCTTTCATGGATGTGCCAATCACTGCGGTCAGTCGGTGCTATCGCGACAATCATGTACTGGCTGCAAATTCCATCGGCGAGATGGGCTTGTTTGATCTGCGTAGTAAGGGTGAGAGGACTCAACTCTTTGAATTTATCGTTTGTGCATGATGTAGGAAGTGGGGCTACTTGTATCCTGTTCCAGTTCATCCTGTGTGCAAGTACAAAGGACAAGCTGGAGCGATTCGCTCTATCGATGCACACCCGACTGCCCCTTATGTAGCTACGTGTGGTATCGATCGTTTCGTCCGTGTGCATGATATCAATACCAAGAAGCTTGCTCATAAGGTACGGCAAGTGATATTAGTCAGATGGATAGAGAGGTAATCAATCAATTACTTACTATAGATTTACTGCAAAACTCGTTTGAACCGTGTACTGATTCGATCGGAGCTACCGAGCATAACTACGGTTGTGGAAGGCAATGATGAGGAGTGGATGGAGTTGAAGGTAGGTTTATACTCACATTCTATTCGAGTTGATAGATGTTCTGATGCTTTCTTATAGAAGGAGATAAACTGCGATAGCGATTCCGCTTCGGCAAGTGGCTCGGATGATGATGAATCTGTGGATGAATGCACGTGGGAGAAGCTGGGTGTTAGCAATGATGATGATCCCATGAGTAATGGCAATCCAAGGAAACGACACGATCAAGCGAATGTTGCGGTTGAGAGTGTACGTAGTTGATTGAGGTAGGTGAGGATGATTTATGGCTTATTCACTGTTGCCTAATTCAGGAGAGCTGTGATGATGACGATGAACCTGCCTCCAAGAAGAGGAGGGTAACTAAGTCCAAGAAGAGAAGAGAAGAACCAGAGGCAGATGAGGTAAAGAAGCTGAAATTTTATCTCAATATGAGAAAAAACTGGTTCATCTTCTGCCAAGGCTATAGGATTCATTAAGGAGGCTGTTGAACCGCGTAAGAAGCCCAAAATTGTCAAAGGAGTAAAGCGGCATGATGAAATCAAAGAGGAGGTGAAGTTATTGACATTTGTACGGGTTTTGTATCCTTTAGTTTTTTGTGGCCTGAAAGTTATTTACGGGTATTTAGAAGCCCTGTTGGCAATTTGACAATATAGCAACATCTCGTAAGCGTTCCTTCTTTAGGTGGATTCCGACGAGGAGCCTAGAAAACGTAAAAGGGTTCCAAGGCCTGTAGTGTGTGCTTCTTAATCATTCCACTGTCAATCTTTGTGATATACCGGTGAGTGCTTTTGATTGTTTATTATTTAGTATTGCTATTCATGTAATTTCATAAGAGGCGTAAAATTCATACGATGTGATGAGAAGAACACAAAACCTTCGAATAAATGAAATCCGTCTCGTATTTCAAGAGCAACGGTCATTTCATGACGATGGTGGAAACGCCAAAATGTAGCTGATAGAATTAGAAGCTTAAAACGACTATCCAGTCTTTTCAGCTTCTGCTGAATCCTAAAGCCCTCACTTCTGAGGAACTGTGATACTGAGATGAGGCCTCGAAACAGACCAATTTTGAAGCCTTTTTTCCAAATACTTTCCTCTTTGGTTGAACCCATGAATTATGTTTACTTGATGTAGCACGAATCTTCATTATTCAAGGTTATAATGTAAAATATGTATCTCCGATTACAAAACCGCAGGATTGGCATTCAGCCAACAGTTAGTTAAAAGCGGAACCATTTTCATGAAGGATTTTTTCAAAAACGACTTATTTTTTAAAAAAAATCTTGGACTGTACTGTAACCTCGTCTACCCTCTATTAGTTATTGATGAAGCACCCAAGCTGTATTTTTAACCCTTTGAGTTTTCAGGGTGAGGAGAAATGTCAAAACCGATCATGTGGGTTAATATATAGAACGCGTCCTCTCTACACAAGGCGCCGATCCCCGCTCGTTTCTTCTCAGAAGTATTACGTTGTTTCAAATGCCTCTCTCTGATGCTCAATCCTAGCTGAGTTGAGATACTATTCGAAGAATTCCATTGCAGCCCTACTCTTTCATTTTTTCCCTACATATTTGTTCAAACTGACCTAGATGGGTCGAGTTTTGTTCCAACCCACAGCTGCCTTTGTCCTGTACTGAAATACGCGTTGATGATTTTTGTTGTTATCCTTGTTATGTTGGAGGAATTACTTTATACATTTTATTATTTGTCGTTATTGATTGTGGTCGAAATACCGTATGAATTTAAAATTTCGCTGCCTCGAAATTGAGTACTTGAACAGCTTTTTGTAAAATTGCTCTATTGCTGTGAATCGATGGCGTTGTGTTTCTGAATGAATGTACCTGTGATTTGATAAAAAAAAAAGCTAAGAAACTCGAAATCCCAACCCTCAGATGTATTTATAGGTTTGAACGGCTAATGGTGTGCAGCTTTTTTCAGGAAGAATATGATCAAATACCTGCACCTGTGTGATTCATGAGAATGTCTGTTATTGTAATATTTTGCTTCCCTATGCTGATCATGACCTAAGTCTAAGAAGGGGAGTAGAACTGGAGTGAAGAAAATGCTTACTTCAGGCGAGAAGTTGGAATGGAATGGGTAATAGCCCATGAGATACTATTTTACTGAGAGAGAGTGATAAGAGGAAGTGAACAATAGCCTTCTCAGGCTATGTTTTTACCCATTTCTCTTTCTAACGGCCATCTTTTCCCTTTGCTGGATCGTAAGATGTGTGATTGGAGACATGTCCTCCAGTTGCGCAAGGTACTGATTCAAATCATTTAAGGATCCATCGTTACCAACGTATCACTACCATTCATGGACTAGTGCCTATAATTCTGATGAATTAAATTTATCGGAATTCATCAGAAGTATTTTGATTGATATTTGGTAATGTTTTCACGACGAAATTCCGTTTTTACAATTTGTTTAATGAAAAATCACCTCTACATAATGTTTTCTGTGGGCTTTGCAAGGGGAGTACTAGATTGTATGTGAAGGGATTACCAGTTGGTTGTTTCGAAAGCATAGCTTTTCAAAAAATAAGTAATCAGTTTAGGAATAAAATTCATAGGCCAAATTGAAGCTTCACATGTTGAATTTCTAGCGATTGGCGGCGTGTTATGGCAGTCTCGCAGATGGCTGAGTGGGTGTGAGCGCTGTTAACGCTGAGGTGTCGCGGGATCGAATGCGAACACCGAGTGTTGGTACTGATGATGCTGACGTAAGTCAGTTCTGCTACTGAGTGTAGGTGAGGACAACATACCATGTTCTGAAGTACCTGTTTGCTAAATGAATTTACCATATCGACTATCGAGAAACTGAATTTTGGAAATCATCCAACAAAATTTAATTCTCTCGAATCAAAGTTTCGTGGCATCAGAGTAAAAGCTGGAAAATGCAGATCAAATGTTCACTTACTTTTCTTCATTTTACTTGACAGAAGTTAAGTCGAGTGCATATTTCGAGGAAAACAGATAGCTAGTTTTACTTGCCCCTGTTACTTGAATTGTGTCAAAATTTGTAAAATGCAGGTGAGTATGTCAGTATGCACCGTTGTTTCGCGAAGGGGATTTGATAGATAGGGTTTCGAGCTTTTTGTCATGTGATTACAACCAATTGGATTCGTAGGCCCCTCTCGAATACGGAGCTGATTTTCGAAGTTCTAGCGCTAAATGACAATCTTTCACAAAATGACCTTCTCTTGCGATTTGGTCCTGCGAAATCGTCGTACCATTTCACTTGTGGACCGACAATAAGAATTGTCGTTTCACATTTGCCTTTTACCTTGAATAATATCGTCCCCTCCATCGGCTTCACGATGAAATGAAGTCGAGAGTGGATTCAGTATCTGAATGGTGATGATAAAAAATGGTACGCTGAGTTAGATTCTTGGCAGTCCTTTATGGGCACTTGGACTCACCCGTGTCACACATCTCATAGTGCCGCAACTCTTCCAAAGGACATTTTTAGATTAGCCCGAATTTGAAGAATATCGTCCACAATCAAAAATGGAAAATCTTGTTGGATCAACTGAAAATATTTTCTGCAAGAGTTGCGGCACTATTAGATGTGCGACATAGGTTGGTCCAACTGCCGGTCTGTCCAATTGTCTATAAGGAGACTGCTAAGATCACTATATTGCATCTTCACTCCATGTCTTGAGGTTTAAATTCAAAGAAAGTGCCTGAATTGTATAAATGTTCGATTGATTTCGAAAAAAAAAGGATTATTAATATTCTCCCTTATTATGACTTGCTAACCACACCCTCCCTTCACATCAGCTTCAGTCTGTAAGTTGTAGTCGCCATAGGTAATAAGGATTTCGACGCGTCTACTTGACTTTGTTATATTGAGATCTGGTGCACAGCTGCACATTTGGGACCATTTCTTACTTTTAGGACCGCCCAGCGCAAAAAGTGCCTACTTGGCCCACATTCGGGTCGGAGATGACCTGTATTTCGCACCATTACAGAGCATATTTTGGAAACAACGCGTTATTTATTGCGAGATACGGTTTGGAATCGTTGTGGGTAGCTGTTCCCAACTTTCATCACTGATAAGTGATGGAATGAGTGGAGAAAGCGAAGTGGGTGAACGACAGGATCGAACGCGGACACGGTAACCAGTTGGCGTCACCACAATGCTGTTCGACGGAGGTCAGTCTGCGGCTACAAAAGGCGGTTGCACGATGGTCAACTCGCTCCAGAACCCTCTCAGCGCTACGGGATGAGCGTTTCGAAGGCGACAGCGGGTGCGCTGTGTTTGTCCACCTTCACGTTACTTGTATCTCTCTATTCTATTTACAATATTTACAATGATGTTCACGGTATTTGGATGCAACTCGACGAACAAATGGTCGAGTTCAAAGTGAGTTGACACTTCTGTTACAACCCAACTAGAATCCTCTAACTCTGCCCTACCCAAAGTTTTTTTTTTGAGCTTTTGATTAAGTTTATGAATACACTGGGGGATTTTAGCCAGGAGGATAACAAACCTTTTGACCTTGGGGGAGTCTCATAGAGAAGAACCAAGCCGCAATACTGTAGCGGCCCATGTGAGCGTAGAAAATGCTCAGCAAGTATGCTCTCCCGTGGAGAGTTACTGGTAAAGGGGAATCCGAGTCTAAGGGTCATTTCGATACTCATGAAGCCCACTCTTAAAATTTATGCTTACACGAAGTCCAATAGTTTTCTTAGCAGTCTACCAAATTCAATCAAAAAGCCCTCCGAACAGAGACATCAGTTTTAGTGGGGACCTCGTGATCTATCTAAATTTAAAGATGTGAAGGGGTTCTGCTCAAATTTCTTATCAAATATGACATTTCCAGATCCAAACCGATGATATTTGGACCCAAATGCTTGGTCTCGGCGCTGCCACGCCGTCCACTCGTCAACGACGTCAGGGCAAAGATCAGTACGGAGCATACGAAGCGCAAGGAGTGAACCCTGGACCAGTCTGTGGTGAGTACAAGACTAAGCGAGTCAAAGCATTTCCTATTTTCCAAGCATGGCACGACCAGAGGGCTTGTTATTGAATCTGTTCGTTCCTACGGTAGTGCAATGGCAAGTGGCTCACTATCACTCCTGCATAGTCAAAGGTTCGAATCCCTGATCGAACTCTGCCTAGGCCATACAAGCCTTACACTACGAGGTTAGGCAATTCGTTTAAGATTCGTCTGGGAGGATAAAAAACGCTGACTTGTGCATCGGTCGGCCACCGCAGCTCACTGTATGGGCCACATACGCATTCAAACATCTCTATGATTCGGAATGTAGGTCGGATGCGGGGCGCATCCCACGAAAGGAGTTGATTATGTTCTTTCCCCATTTCGTCCTTGTAATCTAGTTCCCTACTACCTATGCAGTGGATGCCTTGCAGTCGCGGCGTCTTTCTGGGTTGAGGGTTCATTCGAAGGGATCGAAAGGAATCCCGATAAAACGATGAGATCTCAGTGGGTGGCGTATTGCTCGAAAAACCGTTCAAACCCACTGTACAAGCAGCGGCCTCTGACCCATAAAGTACAAATTTTATGTCTTGACGATTCGATTAGAGCGGATTGAACTCCCAAGTCTTTACGACATTGAAGTATTTCTGCAAAGGAAGGAACTTTGAAAAAGGTTCCCGAGTTCGATTCGATCAGCCTTTTCGGGAGCGAATTACACGGAGATTATCTGCACTCATGTCAACTATAATTTATTGCGACATGACTTGCAATCTATCAGGAGGACATGACCGGGTCGCAGGGAGAAGTTCCATGCAGTCATGGTAGTCGCCACTGAAGTCCACAGACTGCCTGGCCAAAGCGATGAGAGGTTGCCCAGCTTTCCGTAGTTAATATGTGTATGAATTAGTTCCCGGATTCCAGTGAGGGCTTGGAAGCGCAGGGTCTTTTCCGGGTCATAGATTGAGCTCCACGAAATGGAACAGTTCAAATCAAAGTTTTCGATCACACTTCAACGACGATCACCTGCTCTAGACGAGCACCGATACTGGGTAGTTACGTAAAGGCTAAGCGACCTCGAAAACGTTATACTAACATTTTTTATGACAATCGAACGTTGTGGGAAAAAACCTTCTTAAGGGCCAATCTCAAGCGATTGCTTAGTGGGAAAAGGACGGATCAGATTGATCTCCTTGTGAAAAAGGATTGTTGTAGCACAGGTCGAATAAGACCTCCTTTTGAAGATGAATTTCTTCCCAACTGGTATCAATCAGTAACAGTAATGAACAAATCCAGAAAATTGCCATTATATCAATTCTGTCCATGGCTAACTACTAAACAGGCCTTATCTCTTTTCTTGATCCCCCTTCAGCCAAAAACTGAAGTATTCAAGGGAGTTTTTTTGAAGTTCAGCATTAATAACTACCTCTGCCCTCCGGCTCACCTCTGAGTAGGATGCGCCGTCGCATGTGATTCCCATTAAGAGTCGTAGGTATCTAATGAATGCGTATGTGGCCTATACAAGGAACTGCTTGCCAGCCGATGTGTGCTGTACGAGCGAGCGTTTTTTTCCTCCCAGACAGGAACGGTAGCAATTTACTGACTCGAGACGGACAGATGGCTCGCCTGGCCTGGGCAAGCATCAAACGTGGATCTACGCCGGGACCAAGCATTCGAGAAAAAAAGAAAAATGGTGTAGTATCGGTCAGAATAGTAAATATGGGAACTATCAATGGGCTCTTGACGTCCTCATCTCTAGCCATTACCGAGTGTGTCCACACAGATTTATAACGCTATACTGCATTTTATAAGCCCCTTTGTATGAACATTGCCTGTTTGGCGCAATCGTTTGTTTTGCTGATGTAAATCCACTTACGATTGCAATACTATCATGCCAACCGTAATGTCGTGCCAAACAGTCGCCCCCCCCCCTCGATCCCCTTGCATTCGGAGAGCAGACATTCGGTCGACTGCTTACTGTGATATTGCCAGCCGAAAAAAGCCTGGCGAGTGAGGGTGTCCGTGTTGGCATTGGAGATGGATGGCGTATGTGCGGTAGACAACGTGCGACATCGGTATTGTTTCTCAGCACGAAACACACACCGCCAACGGTAAATATTTGAATGGAGTGAAATTGAGGACTCGCCGACATACTTCAGTTCTTCCGGTCGAATCTCCTAGGCAGCCCATCTTTCCCACTTTTTAATCATCTAACAATATGCCATTGGTTTTCGAGTATGAATTTCTCTTCAATATCTACCCATGGCTGTTTGTCCGATGAACTCTGGGCTCACCCGTTCTAGACCTTCCCTCCGGATCGCGTTCCTTCGCTTTCTATCTTGACGGTTAGATATTATGCGCCTTCATGGAAGACATTGTCTAATTCTAGTGCGATAGGAAAACCCCTCCTAATTTGTGCTGCTCTCCAGGGAGTGGGCCGTGTCCCAGATTCGTTATAACAGCGCTTAAACAAACAGATGAACATGAAGATTCTATGCATAGGGTAAAGAGCAAGATTGTGAATCTACCTCATTTATCGATGATACTGAACTTCACCTTGGTACCCGAAATTGTACTGGTTCACCTACTCTCAGAGCATAACTATCGGATCTTTTCAGTCACATTTTTTGATACAGTGAGTTGCCTGCCAGACGAGCACCCGTCGTGTATCACACCCACTTTTTATTTCTACCAAACTACAAAGATATCTCATACATCAAATTTTCAGCGTGCTTCTCGAGTGCAGCTAGCGCTACCGGCAGAGCAGCAGCCCTCGGAAGAGGCAGAAACAGAGGAAGCGGAGCAAGTGGAGGATTCGGAGGACCCGGAGGTACGGGTGGAACCGGAGGACCGGGAGGAACAGGAGGACCCGGAGGACCCGGAGGAACCGGAGGAACCGGAGGACCCGGTGGAAGTGACGGAAGTGGCTCAGGGGACGGTACAGACTGTGGTCCAGGCGGTACTGGAGGCACTGGAGGCAATTGCGGTACCGCTAACACGTACTCAGGCTACGACGACGACGACGATCTTGGCACTGGTGGCTGTCCACCAGGACCACCTGGACCAGAAGGTGTTCAAGGACCAGATGGTGTACCTGGTCACGACGGCATAGATGGCTTCCCGGTCAGTTTCCTATACTCTTACACTGTCATATTAATTGCTGATCAGCGATTCATTTACAGGGTGAGGACGCTGACAACTGGCAGAACGCGCCATTCATTGGCTGCATCCAGTGCCCACAAGGGAAACCAGGGGCCCCGGGCGAGCGCGGGAAACCGGTGCGTCAAAATCTTTTATCGTCTTCCTTTGCTCAAACAGTATCCATAGTTTNTTTAGGGGGTCCGCGGAATGCGCGGTGCGAGGGGCACGCCAGGAACGCCTGGCAATGACGGAAACCCGGGAAGTCCCGGCCAAATGGGACCGCCCGGACCACCCGGACAAGATGGGCCGCCAGGAGAAAATGGAGAGAAGGCGAGTAGTTCTACATAGCTCACAGAGTTTACTACCTTACGTGAAATCAATTCCAAGATATTTAGGGTCAAGACTACGAGCAAATCATCCCTCGCCAGGGACCACGTGGAAACACGGGCGAAAGCGGCGAACCAGGAGAGACTGGGGAGCCAGGAAAAGAAGGCCCACCCGGCCCACCAGGACCACCCGGATCAGATGGCCCTCCAGGATTCCAAGGTGCTGGTGGTCGCCCCGGAGAAGAAGGCATCCCAGGGGTCCCAGGAAAAATTGGAGACGATGCTACATACTGCCCCTGCCCCGACAGAGACCACAAGAAGGTTCGTCCATGGGTTTACAATGTATTTGGTTACGCTGCTTACAGCTATTTTCATTACAGCAAGTGGCCGCATCGCCCGCAGCACAATCATCAGCAAGTGCTCCCGCGCCTGAATTTTCCGCCGGAACGGGACAATACTCCGGAGGAACCGGTCATGCCATATCACAGTATGGACGATAAATGGCGGAAGCGTAGGCGCAGCAGCTCACCAGGCTGCATTAGTTGCGCTATCATTTAATCGAAAATTCTACGAAGCAATGTGATTCTGTTTTTGTCGTGATCGTGATCAATAAATATGCAGCCAATGTTGTCGTTCAATCAGTAAATAGTGGGAAAAGGTCTTCTATCTTGATAGAGTGGCATCTCTGAGCTTGCAGCAGGCTGTCTCCTCAGGATAATTGTCAAAACCAACTTACACTTATTCCTTCCAAGAAGGTTTAGCCAGGGTTGGCTGCTAAGTGGTCGATCACAACCTGTATCAGCGGTAGCCACAAGTTTCCTGGTCAGCAACTGTTTCGTTTTTTACGGCGATCGTGATATTACTGTCACGGATCATTAGTTTCCGATGCGAAGGCAGGTTTGACCGATCATCAATGAACAATGAGTTGACTCCCGCCTGAAACTCGATTAGCAGTTACTTCATTACTGGTAAGCCTTAAATAAGAGCCATTTCCTAGCTAAAACGACCAACAATTCGTATCATTTAACCAAGGAGAGGAGGAGGTATGGTACAGTCCTGGGGTCAGCCAATCGGTATCAGACTCGGGTGGGAGGAAAAAACACTGAACCGTGTTCGCATCGGCCATTGCAAGCCATGGTCTAGACCATGTATGCATGCAAAACGCCATTACGATTCTGAATGAGAGTCGAATGCTGGGCGCACCCGAAAACAATAGAATCAATGCCTAGTTGATTGGATTGATTAATGCCGAATCCGGTTATCCTTATCGTCCACGATTCAACCTATTAACATAAATTACCGTCATGAACTCAGACTGATAAAGGTGATAACATGAAGATTGCACTGACCGGTGGAAAATCAGTGAGAATTGAGGGGTTCGGCTGATTGTTCTGAGATCGGTTCTTCACTTCTGATCAAGTTCCTGGTCGACACGGCTTACAATTCAACCAATCAATCAAATTAGGTCATTTCTTCTTCTTGTGCACTTGGATTTTGAGATGTTGCACTGATTAGCTGACACGAGAAAAACAGGCGGACACCCTTCGCCTCCTACAAAGTCCCTTTTCAGCATAAGGTCAAAAAAAGGCAACGAAAGAGCAGTCAGTTAGTTTAATATATTTTGGTACTACGGAAAACGGGGACCTGTAGTGCCAATGCTTTTGACAAAAAATTCTCCATGAGAGATCTACGGGAACAAGTATCGATGAAATGAAATATCTGGAAGATCTGTGAACTTTCACCCATCACATTCGGCAAGAGGAATTCAACGGCTTGAAACTTGGCTGGATATATGGCTGAAAACCGCTATTTCATGTCGCTGTCGCAGTAGGCGAACCAGAAATTTTCTTCACAATCCGTCTATGAAAAACTGTAAGAGGAGGCCTTTCCGGAATTGCCTAGCCGAGCAGTATGGCATGGATTGAAAGTGGTCAAGATCGTTTCTCAAGGTGAGTGCATTCTTTTTTTTTGGTCGCCAAAGCACAGAAGTAACTGCACACAGGGAATTTCATTCCAAAACGTTGCCTGAGGCGGCAATGAAGCTGATAAGGATAGGATAGCCATTATAGATCAACTCGCAAACTAGATCGAATCTTTGGCTGGCTTTTGGTTTCGAGCATCAAAATCCCCCGCTTTCCTCGTAAGTACCACATCACACCAGAATATAACTTGGCGTTCAGTTTAGATCGTCTCGTTATCCAAAACCATCATAGTATTTTCAAATCAAAGGTAAAAATCATAATTAGTATAAGTGAAACCAGACACTCAGGAAAGCAAATCTCAAAAGACAGCCCAGTCGACAATTCAACTTTCCAGTGAGTAATGTTACAAGGCACAGCTTACGATAACAATGGCATGCGAGTTATGTACCCTAAGGATGGCGCAAGAGACGCTGTTAGTCGAGAAACAGTCTAGGCAAGGGTGAAGTACGGGCTCCAAAACCTGCTCAGCTGTCGTACACACCCAAAGGCGGACGAGTTCTCACGGATTTTAAAGGCCTGAGGTTGCTCCATTCGTACTGTGAACAACGCAATGGCACCCATTGAACGGCACGCCTGAACATCCCTTCCATGCAATTTTCGTCGCCACATTCTCGGCCAAACTCTGTATTTAGCAGTTTTCCGAAGTCTTACATCCCCATAAGTGCGCTTATTTCGCGTTGTATTCGCTTTTTTTTGCTTTATTCTAGACTATCCCTTCCATTATCTGATTAAAACTATAGTAGACACCCAGGAATTTCCCGAAAACTGTTCATTCGAGGGAGAGTGAGAAACCCAAGGGAGGTCCGACAAAAGAATATCAGAAGCTTGTTGGTGATAAACATAACCAAAGCATGTAAACCATCATCTTTCTATCATTTGACTGATGGCTAGCCGTGAGTTGGTAAAATATGGCCGTGATGATGCTGTGGATAGTACAGAATAAGCTAATGGTAGCGTTCTATAGCGGCCCAGGTTTGACTACTAGGGCGCTCGGAGAGATTTCCCGGAAATTCCCCAAATGTCCAGCTTTCTTCTAGTACGTTCCGGACGTTTTCATAAAAATACTGTAAAAGAACACTGCTCATTCGTGTGGAGTAACGTATACTCCGACCTTCTTGTTATGGACTGCTAGAATTAGGTGTGTACACAACCGCAATGAAAAGTCATTGAAGCCAAATACTTGGCAGAAGTTACAGCAGGGATGGAAGTACTTGAGAAAAAGAACGTGAGAAGAGACTTTTTTAGGGAGACTTTTCGGCCGTTATAGAGTTGAATAAGCAAAAAACAGCGAGCCACATTTGTTTCACCCACAAAAGTGGGTGGCTTCCATATATAGCAACTCCATGGAAAGTTCCAGGCCATTCCTGGAAGGTTACGAAGTTACTTTTGAGCAGATTCTTCCAAAGTTACCTTACAACTTAGCTTTTCTGAGCCTTTCATGCCCACTGTACTATGGAACTGCTCTATGGTATTGATTGCAAAAATAAACAACTTCTCGCTTTCCGCTGTAACAATTCAACAATCTGAAGTTTACCCAACAAATACGCCCACTCCTTTTCTTAAGCAATCAAGTGTTCAACCATTGAGTCTGAGGCCTGAAAGGGGCAGGGCCAGATACTAAACTCATCACTTGGATTCACTGATATGCAATTCCTTGAGCTGACAAATTATTCCATAAGCGGTTACCACAACTATCTTGCTTACCCGACAGCGTCAAGCGTTATCAGTATAAGCCACTACACAGAAGTTCCCGTCCACGAACTCGTGATTGATACATTTCCTGTGGCATTTGCATTCACCGTGCCGAAAACAACAACTGCCAAGAATATTGCGGTAACCAATTTTTTGGAATCTTCTGGAAGTTTTCATGGAGTTACTCTA